GACCAAATATGTTAGTAAGATGAAGTGTAAAGTGTATACAGAGCCCTGACCAAATGTGTTAGCGCGAGATGAACTTGGCTCTGTCAACTGACCAAATGTGTTAGCGCGAGATGAACTTGGCTCTGTCAACTGACCAAATGTGTTAGCGCGAGATGAACTTGGCTCTGTCAACTGGCATATACGTTATTGAAGCAAGTTTCAAAAACAATAGTCATTGACACATGATTTCTGTTATCATTAACCACTCCATCATCAGTTCTTGACATTAGCAGACAGCACCATCAGATCTTAGTTTAGTTCTTATTGTATAAAGTCTAGGATCTGCTCTTGGTGCCTGTAAAATCACACTAGATCTCTTTAATATTGGATCAGAAAATCATTTGTGTGAGTTTATCTGAACTCGGAATGTTTTTATAAAAGTATTTTTACGTTATTTTCTTTTGTTTTCAAGCTGTAGACGCTTTTTGGTGCCCACCCAACGAAGACGAATTCGAAGAAATTGATTGTAAATACCTAGCAGACAAACTAGAGAACTCTCTCCGGCAAGCGAAGCTGAAACTCCATTGTGACGAGGTGATTTTTCCTACTAACTTGAATCACCGAATTGCTCGAGACATAATGCACATGTCGGTACAGGAACCTTGCGGTTGGCGTGGTTGTGTTATTTACATCAATCTGGAAGAGAAGAAGCTACGTCGCCATATTGGAAAGGTCAAGTGTGACCCGGATGCAGTGGCTACTTTCGAAGTGTTTCTCAACCTCAAGACAGAATGGAGTAGTTGGTTTAGTATGAAACAGAAAATAAAGGTTCGAATGGGTTTCAAGTCAGCTGTTGTTATAAGCGAAGGATACACTTTGAATAAGAATAAACTATATCGCTCTTCAAGTTTACATTGATTGTATCACGACAAAAAGGTGTACACAAAGTAGACTTCATTTCATCGAAATCACTGACGATTTTTAGGCGTCATGATGCATGAGTGGTTTCACGACATCATATGTTTCATTGCAGCTAGAAGTTGGCTTCTTTTTTTTTTTCCTTCATGGAAATATTGTTCGGTGTAGAATATATTACACTTACATAGGTTGGAAACTTTGTTGGATTTAGAACGTATTTTTACGATAATATTGGGCGATAAATACTGTGAATGAATGTAAGCGAAAGTTTACTTAGGTGGGAACCATTTTGGGTGAATGTACTGTTAGGTTGGATGAAGAAAAATGATATATATACTAAGACTGGAAACAAAACACTGTTAGACGTGAAATGTATTGTTAGTGGATAAACACACTGTTAGACGTGAAATGTATTGTTAGTGGATAAACACACTGTTAGACGTGAAATGTATTGTTAGTGGATAAACACACTGTTAGACGTGAAATGTATTGTTAGAGGATAAACACACTGTTAGACGTGAAATGTATTGTTAGAGGATGAACACACTGTTAGACGTGAAATGTAGTGTTAGTGGATAAACACACTGTTAAACGTGAAATGTATTGTTAGAGTATATACACACTGTTAGACGTGAAATGTATTGTTAATGGATAAACACATTGTTAGACGTGAAATGTATTGTTATAGGATAAACACACTTTTAGACGTGAAATGTATTGTTAGAGGATAAACACATTGTTAGACGTGAAATGTATTGTCAGTGGATAAACACACTGTTAGACGTGAAATGTATTGTTATAGGATAAACACACTTTTAGACGTGAAATGTATTGTTAGTGGATAAACACACTGTTAGACGTGAATGTATTGTTAATGGATAAATACACTGTTAGACGTGAAATGTATTGTTAGTGGATAAACACACTGTTAGACGTGAAATGTATTGTTAGAGGATAAACACATTGTTAGACGTGAAATGTATTGTTAGAGGATAAACACACTGTTAGACATAAGAGCCTAGGTGGTAAACTTAATACGTTAGCTCCTCTGAGTTATTTTATGAAATTGGTTACGAAATAAAGGACTGATGTGTTAATTTATTCACTTTTAATACAACGGCGAATAATCAAAATTCAGCACAGAGGAAAATAGGGGTTTGATCCATGTCGTCTCCACAACGTGATATCAACAGTTCTTAAGTGTGAATCCAGCGAATCGGCTCAAACATGGCAGGTAATCGGTTAGAAAACGTGAAACCCCTATGTTAAAGTGCGCGTTAGATATCGTGTTCTCACAAATTATATCATTTTCATCAAGAGAAAAGAAGGTAACAAGAAGTGTTACGTGTTTAAGTTGTACGTATTAAGAATGGTTCTGTAGCTCAAATATGTAAATAAAATTTAGGCCTTTCTTTCATCTTCATGCATACGAAACATTGTCGTCAACTGGTTGTAATTATTCGTTCTCGTGTATCGTGTGATCTCATATCGTTGCCAAGTGACGAGTGTTTAAGGGTTTTGTTTGTTTGTCGTTAGAGGAATGGCTTTAATGTTGTCAACTTTACTTGTGATCAGCTATTCGATAGCGGATAGTATGCCTTTATCTAATGACTTGATATAACCGTAAAAATTACAGTAGCGGGAGTTTCTGTGATCATTAACAAGGTGTAAAGAACATTGTAGGATAGCAAACTAGAAAATTTAACGAAAAGCGTAATTTTTAAAAACTTAACATACACACCTAATAAAAATAATAGTCTTAACAGATATCTGAAAAACAGTTTTAAGATTAATATAAAGTAATGGAATTATATGAGTTCTTATAAACATTAACAGTGTTATCAGGGATCACACGTACAAGAGTAAGATCATCATAGTAATTATCAGTGTTACAAATCTGATATACAATGTTATCAGGGATCATACATACAATAGTAAGATTGTAAACAGCAACAATATTATCAGAAATCTTGTATTCAACATTAAGATTATTATAACAATTATCAACGTTAACAAAGATCTGATAAACAATAACAATGTTATTAGGAATCTTGTATTCAACATTAAGATTATTATAACAATTATCAACGTTAACAAAGATCTGATAAACAATAACAATGTTATTAGGAATCTTGTATTCAACATTAAGATTATTATAACAATTATCAACGTTAACAAAGATCTGATAAACAATAACAATGTTACTTTAGAATCTTTTATGCAGCGGTAAGAATATTATAACAATTATTCATGTTAACAAAGATCTTATAAACAGTAACAATGTTATTAGGAATCTGATAAACAACAGAAAGATTATCAGCGATCTATATATATATATATATCAATTAGCTCATCAGACATCTCATACATAGTTAGCGGTATTCAAGAAACAAATTTACAGAATTGTAGACTTATAAGAATACAACATACACATTTACAGCAGTTCATAATTTTCCTGTACCTTGGATCTTAGTTGAAATGTTAGGGAGTGATTTCTAAAAAGTAAACAGCAATACGCCAACCTATTCATGCACTTAACACCTTGTATGAGAAGTTCATTACATGTTGGAACTTGTATTACAGGTAATGATGTCAACCTAGGTGTGTGATAAGTTAACAGCGAGATGTCAGACTGTATGTACAGTTTACAACACGACTACATCCACGGCACCCACAGGAAGGGGCAAGGGGGGTCACTTTATCCCCCCTGGATTTAAAAAAAAAATTCGATTTCATAATTTTTCCCAAGTTGAGTTACTTGCCCCCTAATTTTCTTTCTGCGGGCGCCCTTGATTACATCCCATGTGAATACTTAATAGCACAGTAATCCTCTCAGACTTCTGATTGCACAGTTTACTTTGTACACCTTTTTGTGAAACTAGTGGTGTATAAAAGAAATAAGAAATCTATCTATCTATATGTACTCTTGTATATATATGTTTAACTAGTGGACAATAAAAACATTTGACGGTTTGTTTTCTGGTCCTCTTTATCAAACACCGTTGTTTTAGGTTAATTTCAGTTTGTTAATGAGGGATACCCCTAGTAATTAAGGGTGGTGGGGGCCCTCCTAGCCAAGGTTCAGTCTGCACAGTTACCTTCTCTGGGATCCAAACATTCACCGATGCGTTTGTTGTGCGTGTCAACCCATAAGAAAAGGTTTGTTTGTTTGTAATTATGCACAAAGGGCTATCTGTGCTCTGCCCACTACGGATATCGAAACCCGGATTCTTGCGTTGTAAGTCTGCATACATACCGCTGTGCCACTGGGGGGGGGGGGGGGGTATAAGAAAAGGAGAAGAACCTTGGTGTCTGGGATGCTGCAACATACCAATTTTGGCCTTGAATTCCAGTAGACGGGTGGGTGGCCTTGGGGTGACCTCCCAGAGTCAATCAGAGTGTGTTTCACTTTTCATACCGTCCGTTTGATAACACAAACAATGTGTGTTTCACCATTCATACTGTCCATTTGATAACACAAATAACGTGTGTTTCACTGTATATACTGTCCTTTTGATAACACACAAACAATGTGTGTTTCACTATTCATACTGTCCTTTTGATAACACAAACAATGTGTGTATTTCACTGTTTATACTGTCCATTTGATAACACAAACAATGTGTGTTTCACCATTCATACTGCCCATTTGATAACACAAATAACGTGTGTTTTACTGTATATACTGCCCATTTGATAACACAAATAACGTGTGTTTTACTGTATATACTGTCCATTTGATAACACAAATAACGTGTGTTTTACTGTATATAATGTCCTTTTGACAACACAAACAATGTGTGTGTCTCACTATTCATGCTGTCCATTTGATAACACAAATAACGTGTGTTTTACTGTTTATACTGTCCATTTGATAACACCAGCAACATGTGTTTCACTGTTTATACTGTCCATTTGATAACACAAACAATGTGTGTTTTACTGTTTATACTGTCCATTTGATAAAACGAAAAACGTGTGTTTTACTGTATATACTGTCCTTTTGATAACACGGACTGTCAGTAAACAATGTATTTAGTGACTAAAAACCGTATTCAAAAACGAAAGCTTCAAACAAATTTTCATCTCAGACAAAAAGTATAATAGATAAAAATGAGAAACTGTCCGCATTCGTTCCAGCAAAACAATCAACGTGCGCGTGATGAAAATCCGACAAAACAGTGCACCAGACAGATCTGTAACGATACATTTCAACCAGCACGACCACTCCGGAATTACCAGCTCTTTCTTGTGCCAGAAGAAAAATAAAAATAAAAATTTATTGACTTAGTGTTTCTACCCCCCAGCGGTTTGAAAAAGGTTCTCTTCTCTCTGTAATTTTTGTGCGTGCTCATGAGTTTTTTTCGTTGAGTCGAGGACGAGCGGGAACTCTCTGGACTTGACGACGAAGACAACATGTTTTTGACTACGTCGGTTTTTTTGCTATTTATTTTGTATTCTGTTTTTAGTTTCTAACATACTTTCGCTTCTAAAAGTTTTGCATTTATTTAATCTTATAGTTATTTTTACATTTCCTGTTTTCTATTTAGTTTTGCAAAATATCCATGAACTGAATCAATGAAGGGAGAAATAAATAAAGTATCGATCATCATACAGATTAATGATTTTAAATCAAAATAGCATGAATAGCTTTATATACAATCTTTAATATATGTAAAATTACACACACACATACACACATATATATATAAGCTGGCCAATTTTACTTTTACAATTATCGGTTATTTTTATTGTCAAACCCAAACTGTTTGGCATGGCTTGGTGGTTAGTACACTCGACTCATACAATCTAAGTTACATTTCAATTCTTACGTTTAAAGTTTCAGTTACATTTCAAATTTTACTTATGTTTCAACTTTCAAATCTAGTTAAGTTTCAAATCTGGGTATGATCTTAAATCGAAAAGTGTGTGCTTTTTCTGATCTTTTAATCCAACTAGCTTGATGAAAAAGTGAGGCTAACGATTTAACACAACAGTCAGTATCAAACAGGTTTAGGGAAGGTATTCTTTCTACATTCACACAGTAACAATCGTTATTCATGAAAGTTGATGATACAACGAACATGTCTGTCGTATCTCAGTCGGCCTGATGATCCCTGGTGTTAGCACTGGATAAGGCAGATATTGACAGATTATGATGGATTATGTTGACAGATTATACCGGATAAGGCAGATGTTGGCAGATTATGATGGATAAGGCAGATGTTGACAGATTATACTGGATAAGGCAGATGTTGACAGATTATACTGGATAAGGCAGATGTTGACAGATTAAAATGGATAAGTCAGATGTTGATACATTATACTGGATAAGGCAGATGTTGATAGATTATAATGGATAAGGCAGATGTTGACAGATTATACTGGATAAGGCAGATGTTGACAGATTATAATGGATAAGGCAGATGTTGATAGATTATACTGGATAAAGTAGATGTTGATAGATTATAATGGATAAGTCAGATGTTGATAGATTATAATGGATAAGTCAGATGTTGATACATTATACTGGATAAGACAGATGTTGATAGATTATAATGGATAAGGCAGATGTTGATACATTATACTGGATAAGGCAGATGTTGATAGATTATAATGGATAAGGCAGATGTTGACAGATTATAATGGATAAGGTAGATGTTGATAGATTATAATGGATAAGTCAGATGTTGATACATTATACTGGATAAGGCAGATGTTTATAGATTATAATGGATAAGGCAGATGTTGATACATTATACTGGATAAGGCAGATGTTGATAGATTATAATGGATAAGTCAGATGTTGATACATTATACTGGATAAGGCAGATGTTGACAGATTATACTGGATAAAGCAGTTATTGATACATTATACTGGATAAGGCAGATGTTGACAGATTATACTGGATAAAGCAGTTATTGATACATTATACTGGATAAGGCAGATGTTGACAGATTATAATGGATAAGGCAGATGTTGACAGATTATACTGGATAAAGCAGTTATTGACAGATTATACTGGATAAGGCAGATGTTAACAGATTATAATGGATAAGGAAGATGTTGACAGATTATAGTATATTCTTCTTTTTCTTTTTTTTGCTAACACTCATAAGTTCTTAGAATTACATTCAAATTCGTCTCATCAGTGCAATCTCCTTATATGAAGTATTAGTCGCTTTTCCACTGAATCTAGATAGAACTAGATAACAAAATAAATTATTAATACTTAAGTATCACTCAGTCTTGCGAAGTATTTGTTTCATAAAAAACTATAATTTGCTTTAAAAAGTAGAATATTTTATTCAAAAGCTTCCAGTAATGTGTGATAATAGAAAAACGAGTATTTGTATTATAAGAATAATTCAAATTAGCTGTTAATAACAATTAAAATTGTTTATGGTTACTTAAACCCCATCTAATATAGTTAATGGTTATTAGGATAGGTGGAGAATGTAAGATTTAAATTTTAAAGTATCTAGGGACGTACAGAAATCTAAATCTGTAAACGAGCGAGAAAAGATGATCACTAAACGTGCTCCATTAACGATCTGCCCGGTATGGCCAGGTGGTTACGGTGCTTGACTCGCAATCTGTGGGTCGCGGGTTCGAATCCCCGTCACACCAAACATGCTCGCCCTTTTAGCCGTGGGGGCGTTATAATGTGACGGTCAATCCCACTATTCGTTGGTAAAAGAGTAGCCCAAGAGTTGGCGGTGGGTGGTGATGACTAGCTGCCTTCCCTCTAGTCTTACACTGCTAAATTAGGGACGGCTAGCGCAGATAGCCCTCGTGTAGCTTTGCGCGAAATTCAAAAACAAACAAACAAGACCGTTTGCGGTGCATGCTTATTAAACGAGGGTTGCTCGCGTATGCGTGCTTTCTTCTTCTTTTGTTATATTTTATTGAGGGTAGAGGGCAAGTAAAACACGTTTTATATTACGTTTTATTTAATACATTCCATGTTAGTATGTGTATTCGGTAATTTCATATTATTACGCATTTACCACATTCATCTTATCCTGTGTCAATGATAACCAAATCAACATTTTTAGCGTTTCTACTAGGATTTTGTAGTTATTTTAATGTTTATAATGGTTTTTACTTCGCAGATTATTTCTAAAAAGAATTATTTTCGCGATTTACTGCTCATTTGCTACTACTGTGCTGCTACGCCCCTTGCTTTACATGTAAACCTTATAACGACAGAAACAAATGAATAAAACATAGCATGTACATTATGTTGCTACGCCCCTTATTGTATTTAGATGATGAGAAACAGGTGAATACAATTATAATGACAGAGAGAGAGAAATTCTTCTAAGTTTTGCAAGTGAATTCTGGAACCTATTTATTACTTTGAGGATTTTGTTCAAGTAATAGTGCAGACATTTTCTTAAAGATGACAATCCTACTGCTATGGTAGTTGGTTTGAAGAGAAGATGACAACCCTGCTGCTATGGTAGTTGGGTTGAAGAGAAGATGACAACCCTGCTGCTATGGTAGTTGGGTTGAAGAGAAGATGACAACCCTGCTGCTATGGTGTTGGGTTGAAGAGAAGATAACAACCCTGCTGCTATGGTAGTTGGGTTGAAGAGAAGATGACAACCCCTGCTGCTATGATTGTTGGGTTGAAGAGAAGATAACAACCCTGCTGCTATGGTAGTTGGGTTGAAGAGAAGATGACAACCCTGCTGCTATGGTAGTTGGATTGAAGAGAAATACCCCAAATGTTGAAATGTTGCAATTATATTAATACCTAAAGCAGAAATGTTATCTTGTCATCTCCATCTCCATAAGTTATTGAAAGCTTTTAAATAATTTGTTTGTTTGCAGTTAAGCACAAAACTACACAATGGGTTATCCGTGCTCTGCCCACCACGGGTAATGAAACCCGGTTTCTAGAAGTTCGCAGCCATGCTGCTATGCCACAGGGAGGGGAGGGGGGAGCTTTTAAATAAAAAGTACTAAATTGACGGATTGTATATATATTTATATATAAAGATTTCATAATAATATAGGGTTAAGGTTAATTCGAAGAAAAACTGTTACATATGTTACATCTCGCACGACAACCTCGTTTTGACAGTATTTTAACAAGTGTTGTAGAGGTAAGATTTGCCAAGAAGATTCTAATACATTTAAAACTCTTGAATTAAACGTGGACACGTAAGGTTGCATTTCAGGCTTTAATTTGTTTATAATAATTAATTATCCAGCACTAACCAGTTAGCTTATACAACCACCTGCTATAACCGAGTCATACAAATAGAATTTATATATATATTCGGTAGTTTATTAAAGCATTGTAAACATACAAGCGCAATCCTGTAAAATATTAAACCTACGATGTAAGCTTACAGTTACACGCACTTACTTTAATAACAATAATTAAAAAGTACAGAATACCAGGTGCTTTCAGATGTAAAACATCACAAATTCTATCAGTAAGCCTAGCAAAACTTTATATAATTAGCATAACCTTGTTCACGGGATTTTATAATTACTGAACGTTCTCTGAATAACTGCTAATCTTTCAGAGGCTGAATAAACAAATTTAACGCGGTCATTTTTTCATGCCTTGTTATTTGTAAAGTAAATTGTAGGATAATTATAATCAAACCAGGATTAACAAACTAAAGTGAGTAAATACTATTAGATTTTAATTATTTTGTGATTTTATATTTGCTTCAAGGGTACATTATATTAAAAATGAGGACACCGGTTGTCTAAAATTACTATTGAAATTGCGAAGACAATGACTAATTTTTTAAGGGAATCTGCTTTACCAAAGATGTTATTACTACACTTTTGAAGAATGATCGATAATACAATTTTAGTTACTTATTCCATACATACATTATTCGTGAATTTTCAGATCGTCTTGCCATCTAGCGGCTTAAAGTTAAACTAGATATTATATAAGCAATTACGGTGAATTCTAAAAAAATAATCTAATATTCGATTCACCGTTTTGCACTGAGCTATACTGGTTCCGGTGAATTCCAGCTCTTATCAGCAGCTCTGGAAAAGCTCAATTCCAAAGAACAACACTAGGCTTCATGTAACAGTTGAATGTATACAGTAGTTATGTTATATTGAAATAAATTTGGATCATCATTGCTACAACCCATGTCGACGCATCAAGTCGTACTCTGTCTGACGACCGTGACCTTTACAATAGCCCTTTAGCGTAGTTTCCATTGCAAACATCTCCTTCGTAAGGCTGTTATGTCACAAGCACACTACTGCTCCCTGTTTCCTTGCCATAATCCATCTAGTGTACTAGCACAACAGTTTCCTAGTGTCCGTTTCAACATTCCAATTGCATAGAAATCCATAGACGCTGCATCCGGTGAATTGGTCGGTATATCTTCGTATGAAACAGTATGAATGTCTGTTTAATTCTGCAGTTGCTTGAAGTATGTGACTGTTGAATGAATATGTTGGAGAAGCAACCAGTGTACACGTGACTTGTCTCAAGACGGAAATCCTTTTTAATTATGTTTCATACTGTTTTCTGTGGCACGTGGATGGCTTGTGCTTCTGAATTTCTTATTCGTGAATTCTCAGCTGTTACAAACCAACTCCCTTTGCTTACCGAGGCGGGAATATGACTTGTTTCGGGTTTGTATCAAGAAACGTGTCAGGTGTGGTTCAGGGAAAAAATAGAGGTTACCACATAAACATAGTCACAAACAATTAATGAATTGTAAACTCCAAATTATTTACATTACGAAATACTATTTCGAGAGAGAGAGAGCAAGGGAAGGGTTTGTTTCGTGCAAAGCTATAAAAGGGCTACTTCTGCTACCTCTGAACTGACAGACAAGCCGTCCCTAATTTTGAGCTGTTAGACTAGAGGGAGCACAGTTAGTAAACAGTATCCACTAGTACTCTTAAGCTACTCTAATGAAACAGGTCGCGGGTTCGAATCCCCGTCACACCAAACATGTTCGTCCTTTCAGCCGTGGGGGCGTTATAATGTGACAGTCAATCCCACTATTCGTTGGTAAAAGCGTAGCCCAAGAGTTGGCGGTGATGACTAGCTGCCTTCCCCGTAGTCTTACACTGCTAAATTAGGGACGGCTAGCGCAGATAGCTCTCGTGTAGCTTTGCGCAAAATTCAAAACAAACAAACAAACTAATGAAACAGTGAGATTTACCCCTCCGTTCTTATAACGCACTCACGTCCCCAAACTGCAAAGCTTTGTGTGTGTGTGTGTGTGGTAACGGCACATAAACCATGAACCCTCGAATTCACAGACAGAAACGCTAACCGCTAGACCACGCCCAGCCAGAGAAGAGGAGGTACGTTTCGCACATGGTAGTACACATTAAAGATTAGTAGATTCAATAAAAAAAAACTGAGGGGGACAATAAATAATCCAATTAATTATAAACACCATTTGAAATGTAGACATTTCATAACTTATAAAACCATATACATGTTTAAGATGATATTTTATTTATTTATTTTTTATTTTAATACGTTAAGACAATATTGTAAATCTTAATTCTCACGGCCCGATATGACCTTGGGGAACTCGATTCACAAGCTGAGAGTCGCGGGTTCGAATCTCCGTCACCGAACATGTTCGCCCTTCCAGCGTGTGGAGGCGTTTTAATGTTATGGCCAATCCCACTATTTGTTGGTAAAAGAGTAGTCCAAAAGTTGGCGGTGGATGGTATTAACTAGCTGCCTTCCCTCTAGTCTATCACTGCTAAGTTAGGAACAGCTAGCGCAGATATCCCTCGTGTAGCTTTGCGCGAAATTCAAAACAAACTTAACTTTGACGATGATGATGACAAAGACAGAATACTCTAGCGTAGTAATATTTATACCCTTAATTAGTGATTTATGTAACAAGAAAGAGACGAGACAACTATTCTAGTTGTTACACTTTATTTCGAAAATTTTGTGTCAACATACAGGGTAATTAGATTTACGTTTGCAAACTAAATTAATATAAAACAACTTAATATTACAATAACTTTTGTAGCCGAAGTAAATTTAAAACTACAAATACGAATATCCCTGAAGAGTAATTAAGAAATTCAAATTATCTTATAAATTTTTTAACACTAATTCGAGTATATTATCATATAAATTTTTTAACACTAATTCCGGTATATTATCATATAAATTTTTTAACACTAATTAGAGTATATTATCATATAAATTTTTTAACACTAATTACAGTATATTATCATATAAAGTTTATAAAATAAATTCAACACAACGTCTATCTCTTGAATGTTAATTGTATCTAACTCGGTATTTCGCGTTACCACTTCACCCGTAACGCGAAATACCGAGTTAGATACATTCTGGAGATTTTCGTTGTGTTACGTTTATTTTTAAAAAGTAAGCTAATTTTACTTTTAGCAGGTAAACATTGTTTTAACAACAACAACAAAAAAAAACAATCGACTTATCATATACAAAAGCTATGATTGAACAACAATTATTTTATTTTATTCCTTCTTGGTTTACTCTCGTACCCGAGGTTCTATTCTCAACCGTAATCCTTGTTTAGGCCTAAGTACTAATTCTGCATCCATTTTTATCTTATCTCGAGGGTCTAAGGAAGTCACCTTGAAGTTGCGAAGAATATTTGCTATTACAACTTTCTCTTCCATCATTGCAAACTTTTGACCTGTAAAAGTTTCAAATTTATAATTAATCTAAAAGATCTCAAATATTTGTGCCTAAAATGTTAAATATCATTATGAACACCTTAAACTAAAGGGCAGATGTAGCTTAAAAATGCGCTCGCAACTTACTATACGAATGCGCATGAGCAGGCACTTATTTCTAAAGATATTGTTACGTCTCCGTTCGTTAGTTAATTTTCCGTAAAGTCCTTTCTTAAATAAAACTGGTTTATTCTTTCCGAATACAACTTTCCGATACACTTAATTTCAACAGTCGCTCTATAACAACGCTATAACTCACGTCTCACATGGCCAACAATATTTTATCCGCATACATTCAATTACTCACTACCTCCCCGTTGGTTCGTGGCCGGTCTTATATATACAAGACTACACTATATCTAGAAAGATCACGAGATTTATCACGTGATACTAGTCACGTGACCTCGATGTCGTAACAATATAAACAAAAGGTGAATGTAAATATACTTTA